CCTCAGCCCCATAATATTTTAAATAAATAATCATGCAGTGACATTTTTTGCAAAAAAAGACAATAAAGTGTTCATTGAATTCAAATGAGTTCTGCATATAATTATACAGATAACAGATTTAATAAAGAAAATGCTCAGTGAGTTTACAAAAAGAACTAATGAAAAGCTAGCTGAGCTAAACAAAGTGACATAAAACATGAATGGCCAGTTTAGCAAAGAAAGCCTATGAAGGAGACATTAAACAGAAATTCATGAAATTAAAAATTCTATTGAAAGTACAGGCAACAGAAGTGACCGATGTGTGGACAGTATGAGATATTAGCTAAAGGAACAGTATAACATGATAGTAATTATAAGGATGTATGCATCAAACACTGGCACACCCAGCTTCATCAAAGAAACATTCTGAACATAAAAAAATTAAATAAACATCAATATAATTATAATAGGGAACCTTAATACTCCATTGTCACACATAGACCCATAAACTAAAAAAAATCAGCAAAGAATATCAGATCTGAACCCAAACCTCAAAATAATGGACTTAATAGATATCTCAGGTGTTCCACTAAACAACAGGATACGAAACCTCAGCAGCATGTGGACCTTTCTCCAAAACAGATCATGCAGTAGTCCATAAAGCATGCTTAAGTAAATGCAAAAGAACTGAAATTATCCCATGTGTATTATCAGATTATAGCACAATGAAACTAGAAATGAATGGCAAATTATGCAAATGAAAGAAAATTAAACTATGAATGGGTCACAGAAGAAATCCAGGAAGAAATTAGACAGCTCCTGGAATCAAATAATAATATCAGTATAACATCCTGGGACACAATGAAAGCAGATCGAAGAGATCCCAAACCTATAACCTTATTCTGCACCTGAAGGTTCTGGAAAAACAAAACCCAAGAACACTGACAATGATATCTACTGTAATATCTGTGGTGCAAACTGTTACAGTGATTCAATAAAAATGTATGGTAAAATGGCTAGCACAGTGTTGGGCACCCAGTGTCTAGTACAGTGTCTGACCGTGTGTATTTTTGAGTGTTCATTCATGTTTTGGGTTTAGTTTTTTTCATTTTAGATTGAGACAGAGTCTGTATGTCTTCCAGGCTAGAAATGAACTGACTGAGTAGCTCAGGCTGGCCTCAAACTTGCAGTGACCGTCCTACCTCAGCCTCTCAAGTGCTGGGTGACAGGCATGCCCACACCAGGCTCACTCACAGTTTCTAATCCACAAAATTTCTATTATAGACTTTTCATAATAGATCAGAGAAGAATCACATGATAAATGAGACATTAATGTAATCTTATCTTGAAAAGTATACCTACTACTGTGATCTTACATACACTCCTCAATACAGAACTTAAAAACAAAGCAGGAATCCAGCAGAAATGCATGCATGTGTTCACATACAAGATATGTACAAGAATTGACTACTCAAATATGCTCTTTATGAGAATCATTGAGTTGTACAATTATAATTTGTGCATTTTTCAGAACACACAATATTACTGTGTGATGTATATTTATTTACCAATAAAATTTGCTCAAAAAAACAAGAGTAAAGTTAATTCATAAGACTGGCATTAAATATGAAAGATACTAGATCCAGTCTAGTATTTATGAATTTAGGAATTACTTACTGAACAATTATTTTGTGCCCAGGACTATATAGGTTTTATTTTGGTGATATACTGGTAATTGTTATGGGTTGACGTTGATCCCACAAAATTCCACAGTACCCTGAAGATGAGATCAGACGAGGTGAGGTCATTAGGATGAACTCTAACACATACAGGAAGGCTGATTTAGAAAGAGACAGAGATGCCCATCTGTAAACTGAGGAGGGTGGTCTCCAACAGTCTCTCCTGCAGTACTCATAAGGAATCAGTCCACCCAGATCTTGACTCATGACTTTTACCTCCACAAGTGGGAAGTAATGCATTTCTACTGGTTAAGTCACAAGTTTGTAATAATCTGTTATAGCAGTCACAGGAAATGAATACAGCAACTCTCTCATACCTCACACCCTTAAAAAGTACTGCTGTTAACCTAAAAAATATTTCCACTGACAATAATGATAACTGCAAGAAAGGACAGCCTGCAAAAGGGAAAATCAGGACAGACCCAGCCATCCCCTGTGACTCAGTGCCATTCACAGACTGCAGGGGGAGAGAACAAGGACTCATCAAGGATCAAGCCCTTCCTGTAAACCAGCACCATGCCTGGGCCGCCGCAGGCGGGGATGGGGGTCAGGGGAGACAGCCAGACCCCAGCCCCTTCTGGCTTGTGGGCTGGCAAACAAGAAGAGCCAACCCACACACCCGCACACACATCATAAGCAAGCGGCTGATCTGGAGAAACACAGGCTGCGATGACAGCTATTGAGGTGAAATGCAATTTGATGCCTGTGATGTTTTGGTGTGTCACTGACCTTGCAGGTCTAGGGCGGGTGGTCTGTTGTCTGTTCAGAGGATAGCGGTATGCAGTGTGGCATCTAGGAGGGATCTCCTGAAGGCGGTAGCCATTGTTGATTCCCTATTACCTGGTCTTGAAGTCCTGCATCATTTTCGTTCTTCTGTTGGGTTGGGTTTGTTCTGTTGGATTTTGTATCTGATGGCACGGGCAGCTATTTCAAAGCTAGCAAGCTATATTATGGTAGCTATTTTTGATTACTGTTGTCTTGTTTTGAAGCCCTTTATTGCCTCATTGTTTTGTTTTTATTGGTTCTATTCTGTTTGGTTGTGATTTTCACTATGTCTGACAGTATCTGCAGCTATTTTAAAGACAACAAGAGGCATTATGGCAGCTACTGCTGATGGTACACTGTTTTGAAGTCCTGTGTCACTTATGCTGGGTTTTTGATTGGTTATATTGTTTTATTTTCCTTGGTTTTATCCTCTTTAAAATGAAAAAAGGGAAAATCAGGATAATGAAGGAAACCTTAAAAGGCTCCCCTCAGGAAATTTTAGCTAAGCTGAGATCTAAAGTAAGAGGAAAGGAATAAGATTTCTAAGTAAAAGAAATAGCAAATTTTAAATTCCCTTACGAGATGAACAAAAAGGAGGCAAGTGTCAGTCCAAAGAAAGGAAGGAGCCAGCAGGAGATGAGGCTCAAGAGGCAGCTGAACTCCTGCTTATGTAGGGGATGGAACATGTGAGGACTTTGGGTTCTCTTTCTTTTTCTTTCCTTTTCTTTCTTTCTATCTTTCTTTCTTTCTTTCTTTCTTCCTTTCTTTTTTCTTCCTTTCTTTCTTTTTGTGTTTTGAGATAGTGTCTTGCTATATAGTCTAGCCTGGCCTTGAGTTCACTATGTAGCCTGGGCTGGCCTCAAACTCACAACGATCCTCCTGCCTCACCCTCCCATGAGCTAGGATTACAGGTGTGCACCACCATGCCCAACTAAGAATGCTGGACTGTATCTCAAAAACAACTAACATGAAATAACCAAACATTTGGTTCCTCTTAACAAGAAGGAATACCAAGTGCTCAGCATGACTATAAGGACCCTTGCTGTAGTGGACTGACAACAGGTGGTCAATTTTTATACCAGCTGAAATGCATCGGTGTGATTCTGAGCATGGAGGGCCCACCTGAAGATTGCTGCCAACATAAAAAGGAGCACTGGAGAGGCAGATGCGGTGGTGTTGTTCTGCTGGGTGCTGTTGTTCTCCTGGAGGAGCTCATCCACATTCTTTCCTGATATGAGCTTGTTCTCATCATCAGAGGAGCTTGGGACCCTCCTGTTGCTGAGAACGGCTGCAGTTCACTTCACTGTTTCCAGGCTGCAGAGGGGACGATGGTACACTTTCAGTCTCCTGGAGAAGCTTGTCACGCTGGTTTCCTGATATCAATTTGACCATTATCATCAGGAGCTCATTATCACCGAGGATGGCTGTGGTACTTTTCGGCGGAGCGCTGGTCTTTGTTTTGAGTGTGGCTTCCTGACTCTAGTGCGGAGCCCTCAGCCTGCGGGCACAGCTCCTTCATCCCGCCGGCACAGACTTTCTGGCTTCCACCGCCGACTTTGGGCCTTCCCAGTGTAGATTCTTGAAACAGGCTTGCATGAGACATTGTCACGGGTTGTAGGTCTTCATCTGGACCCACGCAGGGTGTTGCACGGGACCTGGCCCTCAGCTGCATGCTTTGGGGTCTTTAGGAGTACTTCCTGCACTTTTCCTGTTTGACGCTTTGAGTGACTACTATAAAATAATACTACAAATTATGTGTTCTGTTTTAAAATGTTTTCCTTGCAAATCCTGACTGTAACACTTGCTAAAATAGTTGAATCTAAATCTAGCCAAGCCTTTAGAACTAAATTCCATTCACCAGAAAAACAGAAAATAGAAGAACAGGTTAAATAATACCATGAGGAAGCAATCAGACAAATCCAGAATGTGCACCATTCCCAGTGACAACCGCACCGGCTCACACAGTCACTGGCAACAGGAAAACACAGGCAGGAGAGGAGGACACACGCTAGGTGACAAGTCCAAAGAGAACTCGCCAACACTGTTTAGCTCCTATGGTAAAATGGCGTTTTTAAGCAACTGATGAAATGTGAATATACTCTCAATGATACTAAAAAAATATTGTTAGAAATTTTAAAAGATATCCTGTCTTTCAGCTAGATGTTGTAAAAACTACACAAAATAGGTATTTAGGATACATCATTGATGTTGATGCTTAATCTTAGTATTTCAAATTGAGGCAGATGGTCAAGAAACACTGTGAAATACTTTGTTCCTTTTCAGGATTACTGAATTTTAGAATTATAAATGATAAGAGAGATTACCCAGTCAGAATAAATTTATCATAAGCATGAAGAAAAGGACATAAAACTCAATAAGGGAAGGCCTGGTCTGTACTGCAGGAGTCTGTGCCAGGGCCTTGTTGTATTTCTCTCACTATGGCTTTCAGGAAGGTTGTCATATACTGCAAACCCTCTGAGCCCCCACTCAGTCCCCTCTCCCTCCCCACACGCCTTTATATTCTTATCTTTCCTCCCCACTTAGACATTGTAATTCATATTCACTTGACAACTTGCACTTTCCGTGAGGTAACGATCTGAGAAGGAATAATAAGGATAAACATTTTTAAACCAGGGCAAAGCTAACAGCTACTGTTTCAACCTTGCTCCAGATTATTTATGTACTTCATTCTGCTGGCCTTCAATGACCACATTTCCCCACTGAGTTCTGTTAATGAACTCACGTAGCATTCTATTAATCATACAGGTCTCATAGTAAAAAGGGTTTTAAGCCATTGGTACATCAGGAAGCAGTCTGCTGAAATATCCACTTTCTGTCCCTCTTTTTTAATGCTTTCTTCTGTTTTGTTTTGTTTTTAAATCACAGTTAATATAAAAGTTTAGAAATAAAAATGTTATTAGTTACTGTAAGCATCTTAGTAATACACTGGTTTTTAGACTATGCATGTGCATTACTTTGGTAAAAATATTAAGTTTTCAAAAACTGAATTATAATTATCTAGTTCTGTGTTTAGCACAATACAGAAAAATTAGTCTTGGCCAGTATACTTCTAGATTTATAATATATTTCAGGCAACCATAATATGAGCTTGGATACCTTAATATAGGCAATAAGTTATACCAATATATCAAATACTTCAGATAAGTACAATTATATCATACAAATAGGTAAAAATGTGGAATTTTGTAAGTGTAAAGTAAGCAGATTAATTCTTGTTTCTGCAGCTTCCTACAAATAACAGCTGTCTCTACTAAATTCCTGCATTATGTGCTACATTTACACTTCACATAAAAGTCAGCAGTAATCCTCATAAACCTAAGTAGATATTACTACCTATATTTCACAGATGAGTAAAAGACTGCGTCAGAATTTTTATATAAGGCTGACTCCAACTTCACATTCTTTCCACCATAAAAAAATCCACATTCAATTTAAATTTAGGAAGGAAAATACATGCTTTTTGCTCTAACACAGTTCACTTTAACCCTTCATCAAGGTGGACATTCAGCTCATAGATTCTCATGTGGCATAAGGCCTGAAAGCTGTTCTGATTACCTGGGTATCCGTTCTGCTTGATCGGTTTTAGTATCACACTTGTCAATGGCACAGAACTCTGGGTTTTCTGATTGATTGATTGATTGATTGATTGATACCGGGGATCAAACTCACAACCTCACACTTGCTAGACAGGTGCTTATGCTGCTGAGCTAAACCCTAGGCCCCGGAACTCTGGGTTTTCAGATACTTATTCAGACACTTGAAATAATAAAAAGAAACCACTCTTGGGACATATTTACTCTGCCTACAGGTATTTCAGGTCAACTTCTACGAAAAAATTGGCTGGTTCCTCCCTCTAAAGAAGAACAAGCTACGACTTCTAATTGCATTAGAAGCCTAACCTTTGCCGTATTTATAAACACCAAAGCATGTGACATCTTTAAATCAGTAGTAAAAAATTACTGCACTCTAGATTTTGCCAGCAAGTTAACCTTGAAATAACATCTGTTGTTGTCTTCAAGGCAGGCTCGTAGAATTTGAAATTTGGGCAGTTTGCCTGCAGGCAGAACACCACCCTCACCTTCTTCAGTCCTCGCTATCAAATCAAATTACCAGAAAAGAACCTATCCAGGAATTAGCTTATGTCCCCAAAGTCCCTGTCCAATTTTACACTGTTCTAATCTTGGATTTTATCAAAATTCAATGTAGGAAATGACCACATGGGAAAAGAAATCAATAATATAAATGTTTCAAGGAAAACCTAAATATCATAATGAAATTAGTGTCATTTAGTTGAGAGCTTTGTATGCTCGATTTATTTATAATTATGCCAAAACCAGTTTGCTCAGCTGACATACATACAATGTTGTACCAGCTCCCTCGACCGGTAAAAATATAGAGCTACCAAAAAACATGTTCCATCGGGTTCACTTTTTCATCTTCTTCAGAAATTTCTGTAACTCCAGCCTGAGACCGAAGAATGGACACGATGTCACCAGATAATCTGTTAAAGCCATTTTGTGAGCACACGACTGCCACGTCTTGCCATGTTTCTAGTGAGCAAAGTGGATCGCTCATCATAAGGTGTTCTACGGCATCTGGGGAAAAAATGAACGATTATAGTACAACACTTGCTGTTTGATAATCTACACTCAGCGGTTCTTCACAATTATAAAGCTCCTCTTAACTCCACAGGATTCCCGTAAGTTTAATGATGTCACACACCGTTCTTGGTCTCGCTTGTGGTAAGTTCCTTCTCCTCCTCCTTTATCCAGAACTTTTTATGTCAACCCTCTACTGTCTCCCACATTCCGCATTTCTCTACTCATCTCCCCTTCGACTCTTTGGTAAAGTAGCAGTTAGACAGCTACAAGACAGGGAGCTCAGCAAGGGAAGGATGTGGGCTCAGCTTGCTGACGAAGGGCCTGTTGAGATTTTATGATCTAACAAACACCTTTAGAAATGTCTTACTAGTGCCTTCCCAAAGGTTTAAGAAACTCTTTGGAAAACCTTCTAACTCAAGTGGAGACCTCTTAGTTAAGTGGCTTTTATTTAAAAAATTTTTTTCTACAAAGTGAAATAATTTTCCTTTAAAAATAAATCCAGGCCAGGCGTGGTAGCACACCAGCATTTGGGAGGCTGAGGCAGGAGGATCACTGCGAGGCTGAGCCTGGGCTATGTGGTGAGTTCAAGGTCCACAATGAACTACACATCAAGACTCTGCCTCAAAAATAAATAAATAAATAAAATGATATTTACTTTTTTATTTTTTTTATATTTATTTTTGAAAGTCAATTGTAGAATCTGTATTTGGTATCTACAATATTTTTTAAGTGCTGATGCTTGAAGTCAGCATCTTCGCACTGAGCTACATTCCAAGCTCAGTTGCTAAACTGACTAAGTTGGGCTTGACCTTGAAATACTCTTAACTGAGCCTCCCATAGTGCTGGGATACAGGTGTGTGCCACCATACCCAGCCTGAGGCTAATTTCTTACCTAATACCTGTATTACTTATGATAGTTCATACAAGATGATTATCTTTAACATACTATCAACACTAGTTTATTTTTACCATAACTGCCATTTTCCTATGAAATAATTTGATGTCTTTAATGATAATTTCAAACTATAAAATCATCTCTTCAAATACAGTTTCAAGTAATTTGCCTATCTTTCCTTGATCCCAGACAATAATTTAAAATCAAGTTTGTCTGTTCAAGTTCTTAAGTTAATGAAAGGGGAAAAATGAAATTTAATTATCATTTATCTAGATTCCAGTGCAGATTTAGGTCCAAAGGAGTATCATATAGATATGCAAAAATGTTGGTTTAGGAATTAAAATATAGGGACTCGGGATGCAGCTCAGTGGTAGAGTGCTTGTCTAGCACGCACAAAGCCCTGAGTTCAATCCCTAGTGACACAGAGAAAAGAAGGAGTAAAATGTATAAGGCTTATATCTAAGTAATTTTTTAAAATCATATAAAAGATTGCTAAATATACACATGTTCATACATCTTCAAATTTTAGAATAATGTTAGTTATTAAAATTATTATGACATTCCAATCAAATTAAATAGTGTTTCTTTATTCATTTTGATTCTCTCAAGAAATATGTACTATTGCAGGACACAATTATTGACACAGTGATCTTTATATTTATATATTCCTAAAGTTAACCTTTGCTAAGAGGGACCTCTAAAAGAAAATTGAGTTAACTTATATCAAATCGTTATGAAAGTTCTCCTAAATAACCCACTATTTCTTTTTACTTACCTTTCCCACCTTTATTTATTTCTTGAAGTAGCTTAATCCCAACTTCTTCCATATTTATAGAGAACAGATGAAGTATTATAAGCCCCAAAGATAAAAACGGCAGGTTCCCACTCCTTTCTTCAGTGAGAGACTGAATTAGTTCAGCTTGAGGACATGATGTTATTAGCTGCACCAGGTCATCTGAAAGTGAACATGAAAACTGTATCTCAACATCATGTGGCAAGTCAACTGGAAGTGTAACCGCTAGTGTCTGCACTCGTAGGTCATCATGTCTTCTTCCAGTCTTTCCAAACCCCTCGATGTCACACTCCAATCCACTTCAACAGTACCAGCCCCAAATCAGACACACACACAACACACGGAGAGGCTCCTCATTTAATGACCGGGTTCCACTCCTACAACTGGGTCAGTAAATGAATTGGTTGCTAAATGAGGGTTTGTATATAGTATGTACATTATAATATTTAGAACAAAGAAATGGTCAAAGAAAACATCAATTTGATGACTATGCTTTTATTTGCCTAACTAATATATATAATACTATAATGTATAGGAGACCATAAAACTGTAGCACTGTACAGTACAATCAGCAAATCTACAGTACAGTATAAACAAGGTGTACGATCCCAAAGAAAAAGACACTGAGACGCTACAGACAAGGTATGTAGAACTACAGAGAGAGAGAGAGAGAGAGAGAGAGAGAGAGAGAGAGAGAGAATGAGCCAGACACGGTGCCCAGTGCACACCTGTAACCCCAGCACTCAAGGCTGAGGCAGGAGTATAACCACAAGTTCAAAACCAACATGGGCTACGCAGTGAGTTCAAGACCAGCCTGCACTGCAAAGTGAAAACTTTGCCTCAAAACAACAAACAAACAAAAGATGGGTGGTAAGTCTGAGCAGTCATTAAACAGGTAAGTTATTAAATATTATATTTAATGCTCAGCACAGCAAAAACACGCAGACCAAAAATTTACTCATTAAAAATAGTATGAGAAAAAAATCAACTGTCAAAAGTATGATATAATAAAAGGATATAGGCTGCAAATCAGGAGAATTAAGTACTTCCATCAGCCACTCACTCTTTTTACGTCTGAAGAATGCTAGCGTTAGCTAAGATCTCTTAAGCTCCGTCTAACACTCCAGTATTTGTCTGTGTTATTGCTCATATTTGCACCAACTTCCAGGCGAGTGTGTCTTTCTTTCCACTGCACAGAAAAGAACTCAGATTTCCCCCCAGGAATATCAAATATTTAGAAATTCAAAATGGGGGCTGGGGCTTTAGCTCAACGGCATAAACGCCTGCCTTGCAATCAGGCAGTCGTGAGTTCGATCCCTGGTACCAATAAAAAGGAAAAAGACAAAAAAAAAAAAAAAAAAAGAGAAATTCAAGATGACCATCTTAAATCGTAGCTATAAGAAATCAATAGCTAAAAGCCATTAGCTAGAGATTAGCTAGCAAATGCTAGAGATTCAGCATTTGCCAACAGCTAGTGATTGAGCTATATGAAATTACCAACATTTTACTGTTTTTAACCCAAAAAGAATAAATATATGTGATTTAATATATTAGAGATACCCTCAAACTACGATTATGGTTTGTATTTTTAAATTTATAAACATGTTAACTACCAAAATTTTTCAATGTAAAAATATACTTTTAGGGTAGAATCGAGGTAATATTCAGGATAATTTCTGAGTCTTTTAAGAACAACCATAAATATAATTTGCACTTTAACAGACTGGCAGAATGGATCACGAAGCAAGATCCAACAATACGCTGCATCCAAGTAACACATTTAATTACAAAAGAAATTCATAGACAAAATCAAAGGATAGAAAGCAATACTCCACATGACAGGTAGCCAGAAAAAAGCAGGGGTAGCTATTTCATTCATTTGCTTGTATTTCAAGCCAAGACTGATTAAGGACCAAAGAAGGCCATTACATCCTTGTTAAGGGAACAATCCAAGAGGAAGAGATAACAATCATAAATCTATATGCACCAAATAGCAGCACATCTAACTATGTAAAACAAATATTAACAGGCACGGAAAATTGAAAGCATTGATATGACTATAATTGGGAATCTAAACACTCCACTGTCACAAATAGATTAACTAGATTAAGAAAACCAAAAAGGAAATACCAGAACTGAACCAAACTTCTAAACAAATGGACTTAGTAGATGTCTACAAAGTGTTCCACCCAACAATAATGGGAGACACATTCTTCTCAGCTGAACATGGGATGTTGTCCAGAATAAATCACATACTAGCTCACAGAACATGCTTAAATAAGTAGAGTGAAATTGAAATTATCCCATGCATAGTACAATAAAATTGAAAATAAATGTCAAGAGAAACCACAAGAACCTCATAAAATATGGAAATTAAATAACTAATACCACAACTTCTCAAACTCTATAGTAAAATGGAAATCAAAGCAATATTCCCAAATTCATTCCTGAAAGCAAGCATTACCTTGATACCAAACCACAGGAGGATCCAACCAAAAACAGAGAGAGAAATAGAGACCAATCTCCCTAGTGAATATAGATGAAAAAAATCCTCAGTAAGATACTGGAAAACAGAATATGGCAAATTATCAAGAAGATTGTATACCATGACCAAGTTAGATTCATCCTAGAGAAGCAGGAATATTCAACATATGCAAATCAGTAAATGTGATACACATTAACAGAGCCAAGGACAAAAACTACATGATCATCTCAACAGATGCATCAAAAGGATTTGACAAAGTCCAACATTTACTAATGATTTTAAAAAACACAGAAAATTGGAATAGATGGGCTTTATCTCAACCCGATAAAAGCCGTATATGACAAATCAATAGCCAACATTAGGCTAAATGGACAAAAACTGAAAACTTGTACTTTAAAACCAGGAATAAGACAAGAATAGCCACTATCATCACTCTTATTCAATACAGTTTGGTAACACTAACTAGAGAAATTAATAAGAGGAATAAGCACACCAAGAAGTTAAATTATATAACTCTGCACAGAAGACCCCAAAAACTCCACTAAAAAATAATAGCATCCAAAAAAATGAAATAGCCAGGAATCCATGTAGTAAGAGGAGTAAATGACATTACAGTGAAAACTGCAGAATTGTGAAAAGGAGATCAAACAGGAGGACATCGTAAAATGGGAAGATAATCTTCATTCTTGGGCAGGAAGAACAAATACAGGGAAAATGGCCATGCTTTCAAAACTGTCCTACAGATTTAATGCAATCCCAACCAAAATATCAATAGCATACCACACAGAATTAGAGAAAACAATCCTAAAATTCATTTGGAACTTGAAGAGACAAAACAGCAAAAGCAATTCTGGGCAACAAAGGCAAGGCAAAGGCATCACAATCCCTGACTTGAAATTATACTACAAAGCTACTGTGATAAAAACAGTATGGTACTGGCAAGAAAAAATAAAAAGCAGACCTGAGGATCAATGGAACAGGTTAGGAGATTCAGAATCAATTCCAAATACACTCAGCCACCATATCTTTGACAAAGGGGCCAAACTTCTTTACTGGAACAAAGCTGTCATCTTTAATAAATGGTACTGGGAAAACTGGCTTTCCACATGGCCAAAGATTAAAAGTAGACCCATATCTCTCACCATGCACTTAGTAAACTAAAATTGAAGTGGATCAAAGATCTAAATATCAAAACAGAAACACTAAATCTGCTGAAAGATAG